ATTAACATATTTTTATTTTATTTTAACTGAAGCAGGGAAACTGCCTGTCAGTTTAGATAGTCCCCCTTCAGGCAGCACTATGGACGCCTATTGCAGCCATGTGATCGCTCTTTTAGAGCGATCACATGGCCCTCAGGGGCCTAATTTGCCAAGACCGGGAGCAACTCCTATCGCCGGAGGTGGTACGGCGGCAATCGGGTAAGCAAAAAGGACATCCGCATTCCTTAAGGACCGATTTTTGTCGGACGTACCTAGTACCTCCGCGGTCCTTAAGGGGTTAATAAGTGTGGGTGCACTTAATTTTAAAGAGATAAATTATGGTTGAAGAGACATATAGTCCAAATCCAGGTTAGGTTTTAATTTTGTTTTGATCAGAACTTATACAACTGCCTCTGTCCTTAAGGGGTTAATATTAAAACAAATGTATTTTAGTATACTTTGTGAAATTGTGACACAGAATGTAAATGATGTACAGTTCAATATTACATGACAAATATTTCATTTAGTAAGCTTTCAATTTTTTTCTAAATTTACAAATTATGTCATGCTTTATACTATTCAAATAAGAAAAATAAGTGAATTAGCTTTTAACATAAACTTTTAGTTATTAAGTATAAGTATCAGGCAGGGACATTTTTAATGTGACATTAACATTTATGTTTACATTTTATTGAATATAGTGAACATATATTACCATCTTTTTCAGGGGAACACCATTTTGATGTAAAGAAACATAAAACCCATTAATTACACCTTGCTGAAGGTATCCTGATTTGCTCTTAGGCAGAGATTTTGGCTAGACCATTGCTCTTTGTGAATTTTCTGTGTTCTGTGCTGAAGCTTATATATTACCATTTGCCAGAAGTTACATTTGAGATTGTGATTACACATTCATTTGATGGCTGCTGCTATTGCTTCAATTTTTCTGGCTACTATTTTGGATGTCAGTATAATTTTAAGCTCTCTAACAGGAGCTATTAAACTGCTTAACAGCAGGAGTGCAATCTGTGTTTCCGATCTTAAATGCCAGATATCTTTAAGTTTAAACTACTTTTTATTTTGTAAGTCTTTTAGTATTTTTTATGTTTGTGAAGTATATATATTTTTTTTAAATGAACAACTTTTTTAGGCCACTTTGTGTAGCTATATGGACATTCCGTATTAAATTTACTCGTTACATTGATATGTTTACACCCATACAACGTAATTGCTGATGTAAGGTAGGTAAGATCAGACATGTTAAATAGACTTGTGATTCATCCAAAATTCCCAAAGCCAAAACGGCCAATAGCTGTATCACAAAATAAATGAAATAGCCAATGGATGAGCCTTTTAATTTGTTTTGGGATTTAAACTTTAAAAAGCCAGTGGACAAATAGTTAAAAAAAAAAAAAAACACCACAACGGCACTACCGTTTTATTATGTGGTATTTTGCCAGCACTTGCTAGCCAGCTGACATAGTAAAATGTAAACAAAAAATATTTTTGGTAATTTTGACCTCCATATTAGTATAAGGTAGGTATAATAATTCCCTTATGCCCCCACCAACCAGGATTTCTAAGCCAATCAATTAGAGCACTTTGACAGGCAAACCTATTCCCCACCACCACCAAAAAAAAAAAAAAATTAAAAAATTATCAGAACAAGTGCTCCAAATATAAGAATAGTATAATCCACTCAGTTACAAAACAGATAAGCAGGGAGAAAGAAGCCTATGTTAAGGACCTATAGGTCCAAAATGTTTTTCTTGCCCTTTCTCCCTGTTTATCTGTTTTTGCACCGAGTGGTTAAACTATTCTTGGATTTGAAATGCCTGAGCTTGTTTTGGGGAAAAAAAAGTTGCAGGCTATATTTTCATTTGGATTTAAAGTTCTTGTGGCTGAGTACCATAGGGGTAAGTGGGTGGGGAGGGTGGCGGGGTAGTAGTGCTCCTACTCACTGGCCATAGATGAAGGCAGTTCTCCCCCAGCATTTAACAGGCCTCGTCCCCATGAGACAAGACTTTTCTCTATAGTGAATAAACACTTGCTATAGGAGCTACTTGCTCAGACTATTGCAGGTGAAGTGCAAATAGGTTATTTATAGTATGAATACAATATTGCAAAACAAGAAAAGTATAAAACAAAAATATTTGAACATTTTAATTTTGATTCATGCTAATTTAAAAACCAAATGGCAGAAAAATTCTCTTTTCAGTGTACTGCAAAATATATACACAATATTTATATATTTATATGTATATATTTTGCAGTACATTTACATTTTCACAACCGTTTGGTTTGTCTTATTCAATTTCCCAAATCGATTTTGTTAATGCAATTTGGATGAGCTAAACCAGCATTTTGCCATAATTTGTCCATCTCAAATGTTTTTTTTAATGTTTTGTTTTTTTGACCGAAGTGGTTTGCCTGCACAAATCTAGCTCTTAGTTCACTCCTTACTGATACTTTTTTACTAAAGTGACACTAACTGTTTCATCACATGTGTTGCTAAGTACCAAATACACCTGAAGTTGCAGTCCAAACCAAAATCTCCTCCAAGACCTTGGACACATGCAATCTCAGCCCCCTTTAGACCTTTTAGTCCTTTATGTAACATACCTCAAAATATAAAAATCTATAAACCTATCTGCAAATTCTCATACACACTAAACTGCCCACTTACTTATTCTACACTCACATATCCATTAACAGCTACTCACACAACTATGTATTTATATGCATACATGCACACACACACACACACAACACTCTTCCCAAGTTCTCACTGCCCCCGGCCAAGTTTTCACTGGCATACAGCCAGTAGATGACAAGTCAATTGTTGACTAAATGCCCTCTTACTAAAAGTTGGCCAAGAATAAAATGGTTCAATGATTTTCTACTGTATGAAAATCAAATGAATGTGTTTAGCAAGATGTTTTATAACAATCAGTCTTCATCTTAACATTGTTCATCAGCACATGTTTCTTATTTCTTACTCACCGATCCATCATCGAATATCTAATTAAAGATTTTACTGAAATGTGGAAGACATTTAGAAATGTATAGAAATTTAAATGCTTTGTTAAAAGATACATAAGAAGTGTTTAGAAATCAAAAGACTTTCTGTCTTAAACAGCACTGAGGAATCTTTAAAATAATTAGAATAAATGTAACCCACACCAAAAAACTAACAAAAATAAATCCCAACAACATTTAGAGCTTATTAACAAGGATACGATGAGGAGAGGAGGGTCTCCAAGTAATACATTGGCTTAAAAGAATGTGTGTCTGTAGTTCACTTATTATAGACTAAAGAGTCTATTAATCAGCAAAGAACAGTTCAATATTGCAAGTAATTAATCCTTGCAGTAGCTATGTAAGTCTTGTGTTAGCAGAGATATTGCTGTATAGATAAGGGATGTAGATAAAATTTAGTAAAATAGCATCAGGCCCATAGAATAAACATATTACTACTAAGAAATGCAAATGTCTTTTTGAATATTTCTGAGGTTTTATTTATACTAATCAATAACCAGTAATAACCACATTAAGCTACAAAGAGGAAAAAGAGAGCGAGAGAGAGAGAGGGTAGATGGTAGATAAGAGAGAATGAATAAGAGAGAATGACTTTCATAGATAAAAATTACATTCTATACATAGAGGCATTGTATTGTAGTTTGATGAGACTGGACTGTTGTGTTTGCCCTCCTGGGTGCTCATAGCCCCTTCACCTGTGGGCGGAGCATTCTGTAATTATGCAATGAGTGAAGGGACTGCAAGGAGTATTGAATGTCTGAGGGAGCAGGGCCATGCAGATATTTGGCTCCTTTAGATATAACACAGTGGTCACTGAGTCTGACCAGTAAAAAATACTGGTATTTGCATTGCCAATTTTCTTTTTTTTTTTTTTATCAATGTGGGTTTAGCCAAACAGCGTAAAATTCTCGATGTTCCAGTAAAATACAATCAAGGTGACAACCTTCAAAGAGAGGTACATTACTATCAATAACTGACGTGTTTTGTAAGATATAACCTGTGGTCTATACAGCAAAGTAGGAAGATATGTAAGCACAATATATAATATTCTTGGCAGCATTATACAAGACCACTTGGTTTCAAATTATCTATCTATCTATCTATCTATCTATCTACATGTTTGTCTGTTGAATTACCCCAAAGTTGCCAATAAAGGTTACACATTAAATAATAGCAGCTTTACCAAGTACAAGATGTGTTTAAAAGTACTTTCGTGGCTGGTATAACACTACTACACTGAATTATATATACTATATTACATTATTGTGTTAGTTTTGTTTATTCTTTTACATTATTTTATCTCATATTTTTAGTATACATATATAAATATTACCTATGAGTAATTTTGAAAAGACTGCAGTTTCTCTATTTATGAATTTATTCAAATGAGATGTAGAGGAGTAGATGAGATTGACAAGTAATTACTACAAGAATGCTTAGGTTAGTTTTTGTATTAATAACAAAAAAATATATAGAAAATGGCGCTGGAGGATAAAGTGAATGAATGGTGCTGCTATACCCAAGTATATCACCACTATATATACTTAGAAAGAATACAATAAAAAGTAGGAAAGGTAAAAGCGCACACAGAACAAGGAGGTCTTTACCTGACGTGTTATAAATAACTGGTAAGAAGTAACTCCTCCTTATATACAATAGGTATATACAATGTAGGTTTGCCTATACAGAAAATACAAACACAGAACAAAACATAGTGTGGTCTGTATATAAAACACAATAAAAAGGAAATTATGAGCTAGAATCACTCACACTTTGCTGAGCCGTTTAAAGTAGGCTCGGAACTTATGTAGCTTTATATGTCACTTAAGTGGGACATGCACATTCCTTCACTCTTCAGGCGAATCCTTCAATGATCTAAATAATCATCTGATGAAAAGTTGGAGTCAGGAGCCAGGAGTATGAGGATATATAAAAATGATATTTATTTATATAAAAACAAATATAAAAAGTATTGCACAACGCGTTTCAACCATCAGGTGGTCTTCCTCAGGTGCTGACCACCTGGTTGAAACGCTGTTCAGCACCTGAGGAAGACCACCTGATGGTTGAAACGCGTTGTGCAATACTTTTTATATTTGTTTTTATATAAATAAATATCCTTTTTATATATCCTGATACTCCTGGCTCCTGACTCCAACTTTTCATCAGATGATTATTTAGATCATTGAAGGATTCGCCTGAAGAGTGAAGGAATGTGCATGTCCCACTTAAGTGACATATAAAGCTACATAAGTTCCGAGCCTACTTTAAACGGCTCAGCAAAGTGTGAGTGATTCTAGCTCATAATTTCCTTTTTATTGTGTTTTATATACAGACCTCACTATGTTTTGTTCTGTGTTTGTATTTTCTGTATAGGCAAACCTACATTGTATATACCTATTGTATATAAGGAGGAGTTACTTCTTACCAGTTATTTATAACATGTCAGGTAAAGACCTCCTTGTTCTGTGTGCGCTTTTACCTTTCCTACTTTTTATTGTATTCTTTCTAAGTATATATAGTGGTGATATACTTGGGTATAGCAGCACCATTCATTCACTTTATCCTCTAGCGCCATTTTCTATATATTGTTTGTTATTTGGGAGAAAATGCTCTAGTGACTGTCGGAGTGAGAGCCACTAGAGGCATTTAAACCCTGCAATGTAAGCCTTGCCGTTCCTGCAGAACAGCAATGTTTTACACTTCAAGGTTAAAATGATGAGGACATAACACCCAGACCACTTCATTGAGATGAAGTGGTCTGGATACCTATTGTGTTCCTTTAAGATTAGGCAATGAAAAGTTAGCTATGGAAACTATGTTTTGTTATGTTAGGATGGCCTCACAATCTTGTCAATAAATGGAGTACTATGAGAGTAGCAGCCATGTGTCATGTCTTTGTCCTGTATTATAATGGTAACAATGTAAGCCAAATAGACCTTGAAGAACCTGTACCTTTTTGGCTTACAAAAGCCTATTCGTTTGTTTCATTATTACGTCTTGTGAGGTCCCAAGTACTGGTCCTGAGAGAATGGCTGAAATTAATGAACATTAACGAAAAATAAAGCAGGGAGGAAGGACACTACGTGATTCAATTCACTTGAATTTTGCTCAGAAAGTCAGCCTGCATGACCGTTTCAATGGAGCTACAGCTCAACTGTTCCTTTTGATGGGTGCCTGTCACATCTAATTAATCTAGAGCTTCTATGTATAATATTTTAACATAGGTTTTTATATCTCATGTATATACTATTGTGATTTTTCTTACATTTACAAAATACATAGTCTCTCATTTGTCTCTACAGAAGATATAAATGCGTATTTTAGTGATCAATGCATACAATTTGATAAATTATTTTTTAACTTCTCTGTATCAGTTAGTTGTGCCAGTTCCAGTTTATTTTCACCTGAAAAGAAAATAAGTGATTGTCAGTGGTATAGACTGACTGCTGGTCTGAAGCCACAAAGCCCAGTTTTGGATAGTGAGCTCTACATTTAAGTCAAAGTTGAGGACCTGGTTAGCAGAAGATGGAAAACGGTGAATGTTTGCTGGGCAAGACTAGGTAGAGCATAAAACATGCTGACCTGCAGTTGTGTGTGTTTCAAATAGTTCTTTTGCAGATTGGAACTGCATCATTAACAGATCAAAAAAATAAACAACAAGAAAACAAATCCAGAGAACTCTACAGGTATATGGAAAAACCAAAGGTTCCAAACAGGACTTCTCATAGCTTTAGTACCACTCACAACATCAGACCATTATGTTGTTTAATAAATAGACACAGATGAATTACAATTCAATAAAGAATATACCCCTGCAATTACAAGTCATTCCACCAATGCAAGAAATGAATACGGATCCACTAATTGAATATGAGCAGCTACAGAGATTATTTGAGAATTAACTGAAAACAAACCTAACTTTGGCACAATACATTTATCCATCATCACATAATTAGAAGGATAAAATATGTTAACATTTACAACACCCAGGTGACACCACCATCAGCAGCAAAGACAATCAAACATAACCCCTACTTGCTAATAAATCATGTTCTGCTTCAGTTTATTTATATTTCATGGCTGTTTTGTAGGAATTGTTCACTTCGGATCATACAAAGTTCCAATTAGGTTTAGGTCATTGACTCTACCATTCCAAAACATAAAATGTGATCTGCACGCGTTTAGAATCTCATTGTGGATGGTCTACATTCTGTCATGCTTCATTGATGGACAAACTGGCATTCTAGTGTATAACTTGCTCGTACAATCTATAATTAATGTTGCATCAATGACTGGAAGACATCCAGGTCTTCAAGGTACAAAGTAGTCCTACTACATCATAACTTTCCCACCATCATGTTTCATTGTCAGGAAACTTTTTGGGAATGCAGTATTTAAATTTACCCAAACAGCTTTTCTCATTTATGAAAAACATTAAAATTTTTGTTTCACCTATCTGTAGTCTTTCAAAAGACACCTGGATCATCCAAGCAGTCTTCCGGAAACCTGAGATGACAGTAATTATATTTCTGTCGAGAAGTAATTTCTTGTTATACTTCTATGTACCACATATTTGTACAATATTTTCAATTTAGCAGATTCACTGCACATTTGCATTCACCAATGCAAGAAATGAATACAGATCCACGAATTGTGATTCATGGAGATTTAGATCCTCCGTGATTTTTGGGGAGAATGTTATCCACACAGGTGAATTTCAAGCTGCCCAACTATTGATCAACAAAGGATCGTGTATTCAGCAATAATTTTGAAACAAACTTCCAGCCTCATACACAACAGCAAAACGTTTCAAACTCCTGATTGAGGCAAAAGTAAAATCACAAACCAATGTTAGGAGGAGCAGACTCTAGGAGACAAGCAAATTTTGTATTTCGATAGAAGGGCCTCTCACACGCACACCTACCTGTCAGTTCATTGATTGAAACATCTGAACTCAATTACTTCATTACTAGACCTGATTCCTCTACAGACTTACATACGATTTCCTATGTAGACAATTAATGTAGGACAAATATGTTCCAAAAAGACATGACAAATGAAATGTTATTTTCCTTATATATTATTAGAATTTGGATGAAGGTCAGATCTCATTTTAGATTAAATTAATGCTGGGATACATGTTATTCTAAAGGGTTCATAAACTTGACCTGACCATTTTATGCATCATACACTCATTTATGAGAAACTACATGTTTTTAAAAATGACATTTTTAAAATAATTATTTTCCTTGGAATTTGAGTCAAAACGGAAAGACGTGAGAAAAGAAAAACAGGAGTAATTTTCTAAGACATGTAGAACACTAAAAAATTATTTTCACTGCCTTTCTTAAAGACTCAATGCCCTTCAGTCTGCAACACACACAATTACACTGTATTATAAATAACTAAAATAACCACATTTACAAGTAAATACTCCAAATAATAAACATATTTTCATGTAAATAAAAAAAAAAAAACTTTTTTGTACTAATAAACTTTGATTCTATATCCTCCTATAGAATAAGAGCTAAAAACAAAATGTGCACAGATATTTATTACCGTTAAACAAATATTTTACGGTCAGTGTTTCTGGATTGAAATATTATTCTGCTATTGCTCTAAGTGACAGCATATGGTTTTATTATGTATCTATTGCATGGTTTATTTGATCTGTTTTATACTCTATTTACAGTTTTGTGCCAAATATTACCAGACACAACAAATCTCCAGAAGTATTTCCACTTATCGTTTACAAGTAGAAACAAGTGGAATAATTGGAACATTACAATGTTTCAATGGGTCAGGAAAAAAAAAAGGATTTGTCAGTCACAGGAAATAGATATTAAGAGTGTCAGTGTTCACATGATGCTATTCTGACAGAGATACCAAAAACGTTTCATATGGTACAAATATACAGAAACCCTGACAGAAATCCAATATAAAAACCACAAGGCAACACTTTTTTTGTACAGAGAGAGTTGTTGGTACATTTAAAGTCCATCCCTTAGTTCTGTGGAGAGTCTGCTGCCTCTGGTCTACCATTTTGCCCTTTTAATATTCTCCCAGGAATTTGCCTATTCAACAGAGTCCAGAAAATGGTCTACTACTTCTTATAGCAATTCAAATTATCATGAAATAGGGTGTTGTGGAAATGTAAATCATATGTTGAGGTGACATGAAAATAATACACAGGTATAATATATTATATAATATATGTTTCATGCATGGTTATGGCCAAAACAGTATCTATTTGTCTTTGTTTCTAAAAACATGGAAGAGGTAAAGAGAAATAAAGTACTGGAAAAAATGAGGGAGAAGAAAAAAAGAATTAGAAAAATGAGATTGGAAGGGAAAGAAATACAGATTATTCCGATTTAAATCCTTTATGTACTCACAGCATTCTGGATTTAAACATTGCATTACCATTTGAAAACTCTGTTTTTATTTATGTGGTTAAGCTTTAATTATAGGACCAGATCCAGCACCGGCTTACAGAAATACTTTTACAGCTCGGAAACTTATTGCATGGGCTGTTTGTTGGAGAATTGCCAGAGAAGGACAGAACTCTTATAAATATCAAATCCATGTGCAAGCTACTGCAAGAGCCATGGCAAATTTGCCAGAACCAATCAATGTAAAGCTATACTAGGCAACTGCACAGCGGCCACTGAAAGTCTTGGGACCACTTGGTAATTGGAACAAAAGCAGTCCAGCAGCACACTTGACTCTCTTGCACTGAACAGATAAACATAAATTAAGTTTTCACTAAACAGGAAACTCTAGAGAACTAACATTAGCGTTGCAAATTTAAGGTAAAAATAGCTGACTTAGAGAAATTCTGAGACTACAATTTTGGCATAAATATGCAATGCTGTTGTTAGTCCTCTGAAATTCTCTGTTTAGTGAATACTCCCCACAATGTCCCGAGTAGGCTTTTCTAATTTAAGCAGTGTTGGTTATTTTATCTCTCCATACAAAATGGATGAATTCCTGACCGAAACGAAAGCTCAAATTCATTGCACTTAAAGGGTTACATTTAAGCACCGGCACTAAACAAATATAGATAAGGTT